CCATGTGACCTTCACCATTCTGAAGCCATTTATTCATTTTTAAAAGGAAAATTATAAAACGTTTTCTTCCAGAATGTTCTTGTTACAATGTATGTGAAAGTGCATTGCGAATTGTAAAGCCATTGTACAAATATGTTAGTAGCATTATTATTAGTAGTAGTAGTATTTTACAGAGCTTCTTCATGCCTAAAACTATCAGGATTAGTTAGTAGGATTGCAAATCCTGGGTTCATCCTAGTCTCCTCAGCCCGAAATTGCCCATTTTAGTTCATCTTGTTATCTACCCATATAATCCACACCTTCCAATCCAACAAACATTTTGTGACATACCAATTCATGTAGGGGTGAAGAGATCAATGTTCCTTCCCAAACTCCTACTTTCCTTCTTACTTTGTTTTGTATTGAACTTCTATAGATGTATAATTTCATCAATCTGATGACTCCAGTGGTATAGTTTGAAACGTGTCTTTACCTTCTCATCATGTGCAATTCTTGTCCATGTCTTCCTGTCCATTTTCCCCATTAGTCTACCTTGAGATCTGAGGACCTTTTGGATCTCTTGACATTGTGTGAATTACCAGTGGAGAACTCAGGTAGTGTCTATTAGTTTCTCTCACACTCACTACCTAACTGATCCACTTTACTTTTTGTTCACAAATTCCTAGTATTTGAAAATTTTTACCGTTCTGGAGGCTCTTTAAGGGATGAAACATTGAATGGAAGCTACTTACTATGCAGTTTTATATTTTCTAAATGTAATAAAACATGAAAACTTTCTTGCTTAATAATATTTGCAGGAAGAAAATACTAGTGACAGTTAATTTGTAGGAAAGACCACAAAGAGGAAGAGGGTAATGGTGATGTATACAGCAACAAAACCCATTCATTAGTTTACTCCCTGGTCAATAAACATGGAGAGTGGGGGCTCCAGACAAGTCATTGCTTACATAAATTATTTTAGATCCCTTCTGTGTCATGAATCAGAAAAACCTACATTCAGGGCTTCCTCTGACATTCTAGCTTTGTGACTATGGCAAGTCACCTAATGCCCCAGGCAACTCTGTCTATAAGTTACAGCATTCACATTACTAAATTGCTAAAGATTGGTAGAGGGTAGGGAACAAGCATTTATATAGCACCTACTATGTGCCAGGCACTATGCTAAGCCCTTTTTTTTTTCACAGATATCTCATTTATCACTCACCATTTTACAGTTGAGGAAACTGAGGCCACAGAGGTTAAGTGACTGGCCCAGGTCACACAGTTAGTTAAGCATCTGAGGCTGGATTTGAACTCAGATCTTCTTGACTCTGGCCCCAGTGCTCTATCTACTGTGCCTCCTGTCTGTATTCCCCACAGGAATGAAACCACATAACCAGACTCTTCCCTTCTTCCCCTCTCCCCAACAAAAATTCCATTTAAATAATTAACTATCCCCTTCCCAAACCCCCATACAACAAACTAAGTCTCAATGCTGTACTCATGATCTGGATGTTAGGATTTTGGAGCAAGTTAATTTTTATCTCCAGAAGATCATATTATATATTAGTAGTCTTGGAATGAGAGGCATACTACTAACGGCAAGGAAAAAGTGCCTCCACTTGTAAATATATACTCATGTTCAAGTATATGCATCAGACCCTATTAAAATCTCTGGAAATTAAAGTAAATAAATCTACATTATTATTCAAGGAGTTTCTGTATATGAATACAAATGATGAGTATTAAGTTAGTGTCTACTTGACTCCCTCCTTTTTATGGAATGGATAGAAAGGCATTGAATTGCTTCTTTTCTGCCAAGTACAGCTTTATTTTTACATAGTACTTTAAAAGTTTAGGCTTTAATGTTTATAAAGTGCTTTCTTTACAACAGCCTATGAAAGAGTACTGCAGATTTTGTTGCACCCATTTTGCAAATGAGGAAACAGACTCCCAGAAGGTATTACTGCTTAGTGGCACACAGCTACTGAGTATCAGTACAGGTACTAGGCAGTAGGTGTTCTTCCTTAACAATATTCAGAGAGTCAGTCAGTGTGTTCAGTAGGAAGATACCTGGCTCACCCATAAGTGGTCTCTTCTAGTTAAATGCTTGAACATTCTTACTTCGACATTTTGGCAAAAGAGCAGTAACAAATTAGCAGATGTAGTATAAAGAGCCCTAAACTCCAAGGAGTTAATAGGCCTTTGATTAAGCTCCATTTTGCCACTAAATGGCCTTGTGACCTCAGACAGATTATTTCACCTCTGTTCTTTAGTGTTCTTCTCTGTAAAATGGACATATATTGTGGAATTGTAATGGACCTTAGAAGTCATTTGATCTAAATGCCTCCCCATTTTATAAAAGAACTGAGGTGCAGGAATATAAAGCAATTTATCCAAGGCCACAAGCAGTCAGTGACAAAGCCAGGATTCTGCCCCAGGTCCTCCTTCTAGATAGATCCCCTTCTATGTCAGTATCTCCCAGCTCCTTTCCAGCTACAGCCTTTCCAGCCTGGTTCTACTTCGTTTTCCGGAGGATTCTGTAAATGCTAACTTCTACCCTTGGACATTGGATGGATAGTTGTTATCTACTTCTGGAAGGCACCATGAACAGTTCATTCACTGCCCTCAGCTCATGCTCCTGTATCCTAGAATGACTGTAAAACTTTAGGAATAACGACTAATCTTGCCCTGGATCTTTAAAATGGTTCTGGAGACCTTTCAACTCTGGGTTTATACCTGTAGTCACTAAATACTCAGTGACCCAGTTTAGCTTGTTAGCTAACCTTTTATAGATTTAGTTGGCTTTTCACTAGAAAGTTCTGGTGTTCCCCTGTAAAGTACATTGCAGTTAGAACATTCCTGAAAAGATCTCCATAATGGTACTTTAAACTCTTAAGATAGTGACTGAATCATTACACACCAATCAAGTGTCTTTGATTTGAAAAGCATTACGTCCTTTTATCTTTCAAACTTTTGATCAAAGGAAAAGGTTTTCCTTACTCTCTGGGCTGTGGTCATTCATGAACATAGCTTATAGGGTTAAAGAAATGCTTATTAATGAATATGTATATCACATCTGCTAGTTGTATCTAGACTGTAAGGACTAAGAACAATGATTAGAAGTTGCAAAGAAGCAATTTAGACTTGATGCAAAGAGAAACTTCCTAGTAATTAGTACTATTTCCAAAAGGAATATGGGCAGCTTTGAGCAGTGGTTTTCTATGACTAACGATTAATTGGGTATGGTATAGAGGGGATTCTTGTTCAAGTATAGGTCGGACTATTTTGAGGGCCCTTCCAGCTCTGAAATTGTAATTTGTGCTGATCATTCTTTGATCAAAGCATTTTCTTTTTCGCTACCTGGAGTGTCAGTACAATTCAGGATATTCTTTTGTTGTTGGTGATCATCTAAAATTACATTACTGAACAGAAACCAAGTGTGTTCATTAAGGGACAGCTGAAAGTGTGTTTTTCTTAAGTAATTTAACTCCACAAGGGAAGGAAGCTGTCTTGTAGTGATTCTGTGAGGTGCATTTTCAAGCTTGTTAACATTAATCATAGACTCATAGGATGACTCCAGGGTACCTTAAGATGAAAATTCCTGAAAATGAAAGATTCCACAGCTTTTCTTGGTATTCCATTCCATTATTTTGCATATTTACCAAAGGGAATATCTGACTTAAAGTAAATCTAAATTCTTTATATTGTAATTTAACCCCATTTTCTATGGTTGTGTCTTAAATGATGATGGAGAAAAGCTTGTCTTCTCTCTCTAGAGAATACCCTTCCTGACGTTGAAAACTATAATTAAATTATCACTTTCCCTTCTTGTAAAAAGTCCCCCCTTTTTTGACCTTTCCCACCTTCTCCTGTTTGCTAACTTTTAAGTACATATGAGTGTCAAACAAAGAAGCATGAAGAAGGAAGGATTTTGCTTTAGCAGGGGAGGGGAGGTGGGGAATGGAGGACATGGCGAATATGGCACCAGAATAGAGCCTTCAAATAAGGAAAGGATTTCAATAGGTAGAGATAGTTTATTATGTTTCCAGCCTTGTTTTAGCTGGACACAGCATTTATTATGCACTTCAAGAACTGTGTGCTAAGCATTGGGAATACAATACAAACTAAAAGAAAACCAGTTCCTGTCCTCAAGGAGCTAACCTTCTAACGGAGGAGGATAATATGGAAAAGGGAGCAGGGCTGTGGAGGAGGTTGAGGGGTGGGATATACCCTCACAGGGGCAGAGTTTGGAGGTTCTGGAGCAGAGCTGGGAGAGAAGTGAACATGACTGGCCAAGGCACTTCTTTAAATGACAGTTCGGGCAAAAACTCAGCAATCTAAAGAGGGAGACAGAGGGGCAGAGACATCTCCAGAGTGAGGAGGCTGCTGGGGCAGAGTTAAACAAGGAGTTGGACAGAAGAGTAGAGAGAGTCGGGGTGGAGCCAGGCAAGAAGTTCCTTTTCTTCCAGAGCCCTACATTCCAGCTAAGTCTGGTTATTTGCCATTCTGATATACTTTCTTCCCTCTGTGCATTTACACTCCTTCGTGTACTTTAATGCCAATTCCCACCCCCGTTGCCACCAACTGAAATTCAGTTCAGCAAGCATTAATTAAGCACTGTTGTGTGCCATGTACTGTGTTAGGTGCTAGAGTTACAAAGGGAAAAAAGAAAAAGAAAAACAGTTCCCTATCCTCGAAGAGCTGACATTCTACTGAAAATCTTGTTCTTCCTTGAAGACCAGTCAAACGTTACCCTTCCAAGTAGACTTTCCTGTTTCTTTCATCTAGAAATATTCCATCCCTATGGTGGATTCGTGTTGTAGTTTACTTGTACCTTTAAGGTACTTCATATTTGTGCATTTATTATTCTCTGCTGTTAGATTGTGTGATCCTTGAAGGCAGAGGCTAGTTATCTCTGTATAGCCTGTTCATAGCCTAGCAAAGTGACTTAAATTTAGTAGGAACTTTAAATTTTGTTGAATTTTATGTTTCAAGTGTTCCAAAATAATATCTTTCAGCCATGGGAACAAAGAAGTATTTTCCTGCCGTGGAATAAAATTGGCTGTTGATTGGTTTTTGGAAAGAGGCCACAAAGATATTACAGTGTTTGTTCCTGCCTGGAGAAAAGAGCAGTCAAGACCTGATGCTCTCATCACAGGTAAGCTTTGGGGTAAGATGGATTGGTCTGACCCTGTGATTTCTTCTGAGTAGTGAACTCATGGTTTGGAAACTCCCTCCACTGCTGCAGATTCACTGTGATCATCTTAGCATTGCTTGGGCCACTGAGGTAACTTGCCATTGGTCAGGCAAACACAATCACATACCTGCCAAGTGCAGACTGATTTTTTTCATCAACTAAAACTTAGCACTCAGATCAGTAACTTACTCAGTACATGACAAGGAAAAGTACATCTACCTTACCAGAATTTAAGTGAAAGTAACAGCTCTACAGGCAACATGGCGTAATGTGTGAAAGATCAGTCTTGGAATCAGGAAGACCTTGATTCACAACCTCTTTCCTCTGTTAATTAGAGAAGTAAATATTACTTCATTGTAGAACCTTTGACTAATTCTATAAGATTCTCCTTCAACTTTTAACACATGGGAGGTAGGTAACAGCACCTGAGAACTTGCCTGAGAGTTAAGAAACCTGGTTTTCTTGCGACTGACTGGCTTGTTGGGTCCATCCCAGAGCCACGGCTTTACCTTGTATAAGCTGAACATGCACGGATAACACCCCATGCACCACTATGGATCACAGTCAGTTCAGTAAATGAATTTATTAAGTATCAAGCACTATGATAAGTGCTGAGATACAAAAAAAGGAAAAATACAGTTCCTGCCCTCAAGTAGCTCACATTCCAATGGGGGAGACAGGACACAAATTACTATGAAACAGTAATATAAATAATAAGATTTAGATCATGTAAAAAGAAGGTGATCTCAGAAGGAAGGCACTAGTAGCAATGTAGAGCAAGAAAGGCCTTCTGCAGAAAGAGGGATTGACCTGGGAGGCTAGGAGGTAGAAAAGAAGAGAGAGAATATTCCAGGCATGGGGTCAGCCAGTATAGTGTGATCATAGAGTGAGTGGAGGGAATAAAATGTAATACTGCAAAGGTAGGAAGGGACCACCTTGTGAAGGGCTCTTAAATACCAAAAAGAAGATTCTTCTATTTGATCTGGGGCAGTCCAGAGTTTAATAATCTCAGAACAATTGGCTATAGGTAGCACAGAAGTAACGATGAAGAAAAAGAAAATCCCTGAAGTGTCATTATTATAAGCACTTCTTGGTCTGGTCTTTTCCTTTTTTCTCCCCTACCCACTCAGTTTCACTTATTATAGTTGGCTCTTGTCCTACATTCACTCAGTCACAAACAAGGATGAAGATTATGATGTAAAATTGTGTTGCCAGGTACACTCTTTAAGGATAAACAGACCTATCTACATGTGTACCTGCAACTCTACTTCTGCCTCTGTCCTTGAGTTTGATTACCACACTGCTAAGATAGATATGAGGAAGCCCATCTTCCATTGCCTTTTGAGATGTTTCTTTCCTGTCACTTCTCTTCCTTCATTGATTCCTCATTAGTTTGAAAATGGGCAGATTCATGCAAGAAAAATAATCCCGCCTCCATATTCTCATAGAAGAAGAAGACAGCAGTGGTACATCCAAAACAGTGGTAGTGTTTTTCTCTCTCATCTTATAGTTTTGTCAGATCACCCTTTCAAAAATTGTCACCTATTTGTTCCTAGGAAAGTAGTAATAAAAATGCAAAGTTATGTTTTTATTTATTTCATTTTACATATAGTTTAAATTATATAACTGCAGAAAAGAATGTTTTTTTAAAGTAAGCTTGAATAAATCTTTGTTAATCAGAAAGGACTATTTAAAAAGATCCTACTGCTGATGTGTACGCTGGCAAATACCATTTACATACATATACGTGTGTTTATACACAGATACATATATGTGTACATATATGTAATATATTGTGTGTTTGTGTGTGTGTGTATGTGTGTATGCCCCCCTTGTTATTGAAATTTTGTTTGCCTTTTGCTTCCAGATCAAGAAATTTTGCGTAAGTTGGAGAAGGAGAAAATTTTGGTGTTTACTCCATCCCGACGTGTTCAGGGAAGAAGAGTAGTATGTTATGATGACAGATTCATTGTAAAATTGGCTTTTGAGTCTGATGGTATCATTGTGTCCAATGACAACTACAGGGATCTGGCTAATGAAAAGCCAGAATGGAAGAAGTTTATAGATGAGCGATTGCTGATGTATTCCTTTGTTAATGACAAGTAAGTAATTGGATTTTGAACTTTATGAGCAAAAACAAAAAGCCGCACTGGAACATTGCTAACTTGTTAGAGATCTGAATTGTTTTTGAAGTTTTAAAATTAAGCTAATGAAAACAAAAAACACAGTTAAGTTCAGAGGCTAATTTGTCCCTCCTTAGAAACATTTCAGTTAACATTGTACTTCCTAAGTTTTATACTCATTAAATTAGATAAACACTCCTGTGAGATGTTCTTAACAGATTTTCCCATTTTAGAGTTGAAGAAATTGAGATATTGTTAAATGATTTACCTTTTTCTTAGGTCAAACAGTGACAAAGCTAGAATTAGAACTGAGTCCTAATTTTAATTCGATTATGCAGGTTAAAGATTCACACTATTTCCTTTCTGCCCCCCTTTTTTGAGGGTTTGCCCAAGGGAGACATTAAAACATTTTTCCCTATCTTATCTTGTCCTTGAATTGGGATGGCAGGGGGTACAAGAGCAAGAGAAGGGGGTACAAGAAGCAATCTAATTTTGGGCCCAATTTTTAACTGTTTCTTGATCAATTTAGAGAAAATATTTTAGTATATCCAGACTTTTTTGATTTTATCCTCAGTCCTCCCAATATTTCCAGCAATTTACTCAGACAAATTTCCTTCCACTCTCTAATGCTAGTACCTTAACTGTGATCTAGTAATTCTAAGGTCTTCTTGTGGGGTCAGCAAGTCATTGAGTTTCTTTGTCTGGACAAGGGAGTTTATACTTGCCAGTTATGTATTTTGCAATGTTAATGTTTATAAAGATCTTTTAAAAAATATGCACATGTAATAGTCTTCTGAAGCCAGATGGGAGTATAAGTTCACTCATAGGAACATTTTTATGAAATTAAGCATTGTGCCAAAACACATTATTCTGAGCCAAGATATTCTTCAGTTGTGTGTTTACAAAACATCAGGAGAACTAAGAGGAAGGAGGCAATCAGTAATTGGAAGATCTTATATCTCAAATAATATTTGGAGCAAAACAAACTTATGTACATCTTGATGACTTAAGTTTGTTTTGCAAATGAAAACTGGGCTTCAATTGCTAAATATTTGCTTTGCAAAATTTTAAGCAAAATCCCTTAGATTAAATCTTTAATTAAATACCATAGAATAACTGAGTCATTATACAAAATAGCTGCATTGGAATTAGTATATCCACTTCTTTGTTAATTTGAAATTCTTCATCCTATATATTTTAGGTTCATGCCTCCTGATGATCCTCTTGGCCGACATGGCCCTAGCTTGGACAACTTTCTAAGGAAAAAGCCTATTGTTCCAGAACATAAGAAGCAGCCATGTCCCTATGGTAACTTGCATTATGTTGACTTGCATTTAGTTGACTATGTAACTGTTAATCATTATTTTTTTATTAAATATAACTTAGAATGGTACATAGTCTTCTTAGTTGTGATGAGATTTTAAAATATTTTGGTATCTTGGTTCAGTTTCTCATTGAGTTGATCTCTGGCAAAGAAAAAGGCTTATACTTGCCAACTACCTATTTATTAACATGGTTAGAGTCAGTTATGAAGAAATTTGCCAGAATTAAAATGTGGTTCCAAAAGTCAAAGATGTGTTCCACATGAGATTAGTTTTCACTCAGTAGCTTTCTTTGTCCCCTCTTAAAAACTTGCATTTATGTCTTATTCCAAAGTACAACTCAAGTAAACATGATTATCAAATTACAAAGTGGTAGTTTCTGCCTGATGTAAAACTTTACTGGAAGAGAAACAATGTGTTGTGAGTTAGGATTGTAGTATCATAGCCAAAGCATTGTAGAAGTGTTTAAATCTTCTACTCAACTTTGCAGGCTTCATGACAGACAAGAATAATGTGTGAATTCAAAGGTGATTTCTCTCCAGAGGAAAGAGGATGCTTCCTAATATGTGTCAAATTTCCTTTATTTTTCTCATATTAAAATTAAATGTTCATTTGGATTTTAAAGCCCATTTTATGCTTCCTAGTTCACTTTGTTTTGCTTTTCCTAGGAAAGAAATGTACCTATGGACACAAGTGCAAATACTACCATCCTGAGAGGGGAAGTCAGCCACAGAGATCAGTAGCTGATGAACTTCGTGCCATGTCTAGAAATACAGCAGCCAAAACTGCAAATGAAGGAGGATTAGTGAAAAGCAATAGTGTTCCTTGTAGCACTAAAACTGATAGCACTTCTGATGTCAAACGTGCTGCTCCAAAGAGGCAATCAGATCCAAGCATAAGAACTCAAGTCTATCAAGACTTAGAGGAAAAGCTTCCCACCAAAAACAAATTGGAAACCAGGTCTGTTCCTTCTTTAGTTAGTATACCATCTTCCTCTGCTGCAAAACCCCAAAGTACTACACCTTTAAGCAATGGCCTTCCATCTGGAGTTCATTTCTCACCTCAGGATCAAAGACCCCAGGGTCAGTATCCTCCGATGATGATGGCAACCAAAAATCATGGAACGCCAATGCCTTATGAACAGTATCCAAAATGTGATTCACCTGTTGACATTGGATATTATTCCATGTTGAATGCATACTCAAATCTTAGTGTCTCTGGCCCCAGGAGTCCTGAAAGGCGGTTCTCCTTAGACACGGATTACAGAATCAGTTCTGTAGCCTCTGACTGCAGTAGTGAAGGGAGCATGAGTTGTGGGAGCAGTGATTCCTATGTGGGGTACAATGACAGGTCATATGTTAGTTCTCCTGACCCACAACTGGAGGAGAGCTTAAAGTGTCAACACATGCACCCACACAGCCGCCTTAATTCCCAGCCCTTTCTACAAAGTTTCCATGATCCCTTAACTAGAGTGCAAAGTTACAGTCATGAAGAACCAAAGCATCATCATAAGCCTCCAGTTCCATACATGGCTGTGCATTTGCAGCATCCAGCTGTGGGGGCTCGATCCAGTTGCCCTGGCGATTATCCCTCTCCTCAGAATTCAGCACACTCTAAGACACTACACCTCGGGAGATCTTTAGTGTCCACGAGGATAGACAGCATTTCAGATTCTCGGCTCTATGACAGTTCTCCTTCTAGACAAAGAAAGCCTTATTCCCGCCAAGAAGGGCTGGGGGCCTGGGAGAGGCAGAATTATGGCATTGATGCATATGGCTACCGTCAGACGTACTCGTTGCCTGATAACACCACCCAGCCATGCTATGAGCCATTTACTTTCCAAAGCTTACCTGAGCAGCAGGACCAGACATGGCGGGTACCTTTCTGTGGCCTGCCGCAAGATGCTCCCAGATACCAGGACAACCGAGAAAAGGTGTACATCAACCTGTGCAACATTTTCCCATCCGACCTTGTGAGAGTTGTCATGAAAAGAAACCCACACATGACCGATGCTCAGCAACTTGCTGCAGCTATTTTAGTGGAGAAATCCCAGCTGGGTTATTGAGCAATGACGCATCTTCGTGGTGTTTAGTCGTTGTTTGTTCAGCTCAGATGCTGAGGGAGGTTTGCTACAGTAGCATTTGTGATCTCCTTCTCAGCAAGGAGGTTCTCTAGTAATCCCTTTATGTGAAATCCTGTATCATGGTATCTGTATGTATAGCCCCATGCATTGGAAGTATCACGGGATTCTTTTACCTTCAAACTTGACTTTTTTTTAATGTTTCCTTTTTTTAAAACTATATTCACAACTGGAAATTTTTCCAGGTTGGTTTGATAGATGTATCTGTGATCTTTGATAATAATTTTTGGTGCATCAGGGGTTTATATGCAGCACTTTTTAATCTTTGTTTTGTGTTTTATTAACTGGGTCTTTGCCTATCATTTGCAAGAAATTACAATACTTTCAGAAAGGTGAGCGCATTTGACTAGATTAGCATACTTTTGTCAAGCCAAGCTTAATTTGAGTCTTTTACAGCTTTTTAAAATTATTTTTATTTGGGGGAAGTGGGCTTTTTTGTGCTAGAATCATTATTTATAGAAAACAAAGATATAATACAGCACTGACTTTATCTTTTTAAACGAAATGTAAGTTACCAGTTTTTATTGAAATGGGTAACGGTATATTAGAGTGATTTACAATATATGGCACTTTTTATTATTTTGGTTTTGTTTTTATTTTGTTTTCTGTTAGTTAAATAGTTGATTTAATGTGATTGACTTAAAGGACGGCAGATGCAATCAATGGAAAACAAATTCGTTTCCATTCCTTATGGATAAGGCAAAAGCCTAAAAAAGTCTCGATTTAGATCTGTGTCATTATCCAGCTCTTTTGTGCTTCTAAACAATAGAAATGGAATTGAAATCCTAGATTTCCATTAAGCTCTTGTTTTATGTGTGTCTGCCTCTTTGTATTGGCGCACAGGAATACTGGATAAAACACCCTTTCACAATATTTACCTATTTTTAAATGAATCTAGTTATTCTCAATGCAACTTTTATATTTAATATACTGTTCAGTTTTCTTGCTATTTATCAAGGCTGGCCTGAGATGGTTTTATGCGTTGAGGATATGCAACATTTATTGATACTGCACTATAGGGATGGTGGTGGAGGAAATGTAAATGGTAACTTAAGTTTTTTTGTAAGATACTGTATATTTTCTTGAAGGTAGTTTTTTGGCCTGTTATGTTATTAGGGCCTGATTCTTGCCACAATAGAGTAGTTTTAGAAACAGACTAAAGTCTGTTCTAGTATTAGTAAGGGATATTTCTGGTTTCAAAGTCATGGGTTTTGCTAGCTCCATTTTCATGGGTTAGAAAATAGATTTTGCATTTGGCAGTAGACAATTGATTGACATAGCTTGGGCTATTGCCTAGAGTTGTAGAATTCTGCATAGTGTAATGGGATTATTCAGGTCAGTCGGCTTTGAGACAGTGCCATAGTTTGTGATTTACTGTTGATTATTCTACTTGCTGCAGTATGGAGTGAAACCCTGAAAAACCAGAAAGTACCTTTTACTGTTGATACAAATTGTATCTTTTTAACTATAAGAACCATTTTTATTTGTAGATGTAGTTAAAACACAAATGCGTAACTATGATTAGACTTTTGGGCAACATTTTATCCCTTATTTAATTTTTTTTTAAAGAAAAGTAGAATTGAGATCTAGAATAGGATAGATAAATAAAAGTAACAATTTGTTTAGGTAATTTAAAATGTCTGTCTCAATTTTATATGATATATAAGTATCTATTAAAATCACTCTATTGGCATTTTTCTTTCTCCTAAAACTTACCTAGTGTGAACGTAATGAAAAATAAAGGTAAAATGCTGCCTGAAAATAACGCCCAAGCACCTTTGACTAGGATGACATTTTCCCTACTTGTGTGACACTGTGTGTTGCATGAAGTAGGATTTGGGTATACTGTAAATGCTTCTCCAAGGCATTGTGCTTATTGACATAGCCAATAATCTGAACCGTGTTCAGCAAACCTAATTCAGGAACGTGTTCTTCTATACAGCTTTTACTGTTGTTTTTGAGGGTGGGATCTGCGTTCATCTGTACTCAGTAATAACATAGGTGATGCTACATGAACTCTCCTGAGTGGTGTCTGAGAGACACCTTCTGCACTTGTGGAAATATTTATCCTTGAATTTGTCAGTCACTATCTGTAGAACATGTTTTAATGTAGAGGCTAATTCAGTGCCAATAACAGGGTTATGTATGTAGATGGCTTTTATCTTAGTTGTATGGTTTTTTTTTAATGACACCACACTTTTTAAATACTACACCATAGTGTAGGTATGGCTAGCTTAGTGTAGCAGTGATTTTATTTGTATTTTCTGTTTCCATCATTCTTCATTTTATTTATATGTCTGTCTGCCAAACTATCCCAGATTGCTTTGAATATTGTCTAAAGTGAAAGATATATAGACATATATCAATCACATTTTCATTGTGGTTTTCTGATGTTTTAACAAATTGCATATTAAAGGCTACTTTAGTTTGACCGCATGGTTGAAACTATAAGAAAACAGTAGGATAGCCTACAACAATGTCCTGAAATGGACAAATCTGGACTTCCCGTGCTGAATTCTTCAATAACAACTAATTGTGAATAAGGGTTATTTGGCAATATTTAGTTATTGTCAGTTCTTAATTATCTAAAATGGGGGGGGGGAGGTAGTTCATGAATAAATAAGATTTGCACCTAACTCAAAGATTCTCCCCACCAGATTTTCAAGTGACTTAATTAATTAGAAGCAAACTGAAGTAAGATATTTCACATTCTCTCACTTTCCCCGTCATAACCCTCAATGGAGTATCCCAGAAGTCCTTGTACGTTTTCAAGCTGTAATAACCTTTCATGCTAGGATTTCTGGAACACCCTGTAGTGAGATGCTAACATGAGTAGTGAAGTGACCCAAAGGTTCACCATGAGGGGAAAGGAGAAGTTACACTGGTCAGTCATGCCCTGAATAATTGAGAATTGACTGTGTCGTGCAATGATGTGCTAGTTCATAGTCTTTTTTTTAGTGTGGAGGAGGTGCCCAGACCATGTTGATTGGCCCGAGTATTTCCTCATTCTTAGTGTGTGCAGTGTGCAGTATCATTTTAACGATCTTGGAATCCTGATGGAGTTCATTGTAGATCTCAAACATTTGAAGAAGAGACGCACCTGTACAAAATGTTCAGTACTTGTAGAATCTCGAGCTGTGTGTTTTTATGTAAATTCATTAATGAAAAATTATAATATAACTAAAAGAAGTGTGAGTACAGATAATATATATAAGATATATATATATACACATATATATTCTAAAATTACAGGAGGGAAAATTTACTATTGATTGCCAAAATTTGCTCTGATTGAGCTACATGGCTTTAGGTGACCAAGCTTGATGATGAGATTTATGGCCACAGTTGAAAGGACAACAACACTTCTGACTTTGTTCCCAGTATTTATAGAGAATTATTTTGATAATTTTAGCAGAAACTGTAATTTTAAAACAAAGAATGCTTAAAATTTTATCAATTATAAAAATAATTATTTAACTTGGCTTGTGAGTGTGTATCTATATGTACATATACAGTAATATATATATATATATACACATATATATATATCCAAACTAACAAACACACCTCAGAATTTTGTGATAGTTATTGCTTTTTTTTTTAAGACCTCTGATAGTTTTCCTGAATGGAGGAAAACATACAAGGCTATTTTATGACGTTTTTTCTAACATGCATTTGACTTTCATCATTTTATATGCTTAATCTTAATTTCATAACTTCTGGTCAGTTTCCCTGTCCAAGATAAATAAATGTGTATTTTTCTAGTCATTTCATTCTGTTGCCTTGAGATCTGATTCTATGAGAATTTCTGAATGAAATGAGCCACAATAGAGTATTTATATTCCAGTCAAAGCCAACAGAATTTCATTTTTAATTAATCCTTCAAGGTAAGTGCCAATAAATAAATTGGAAGGAACAATACATAAAAGGAAGGTGTTGGTGAAAACAGAGAACTCTACACCAAGGCTTTTAGATTGGCATCTGTCTCTAATAGGGAATAAGAAATATTAGCAAATTGGGCATAGGACTCTTGATGTGTTGTTAATAAGAAAAAGAATTCTATTGCCACTAAAAAGTACCCAAACCTGTTATAGTTGCTGACTTTAATTTCGACAAGAAGGTTTTAATGTAGTTTAAATCACCTTTCTTCAGCTGGTCATACTGAGTGATTATCAGATATATTTCAAGCTTGTTTTAGTGTATGTGTTTTTAACTAGCAGAAGTTTCACCACTATAAGTGCTCTATTATAGAGATTTCCTAAAAATACTAAAAATATTTTGGATGTTTTAAGACATCTTGATAACCATGCTAGCTTTAATAATGATGGGTGGGAGTATCTTTTTTCTCCTTAATTTTTAATAGGCCATATGGACCCAAAATCCAGCTTTTAAAAAAAAAAAACTATTCAGTCTGTTTTATTGTTATAGGAACTATGTTGATAAGCCACACTCATGTCCTGTTTTGTGCTTTGCATAAACAGTAGATCTTTAAAAAAAAAAATCATTTTTGAGGAAAACAAATCCATTGTTGAAATTGCACATAACTATAGATTGTTAAGATGTGAAAACTGTGACTAGTATAACTGTAGCTATAATGTGAGTGTATTGGTTACATGTGTATTTTTTTCTAGAAAACAAAGTATACCTAGACTTATCCCTGTCTAGGTCTTTAATATAGATAGACTATGCTTGTGGTCCTTGGTGAGTGGTGCTCCAGTATGGTCATAAGTAATTTTGAGTGCATTGGCACTAGACACATTAGAAAATGTTTTCATTCACAGTGCTTTATAAATTGTACCATATTGTATGACATTATTTTCATACAGATATTAAAATTGCCTACCTGTTTAAGTTAATAGTTACAAGTGTGTACTGGTACAGAACTTTAGCTTTTAAACAGTGCTATTGATTATTTGTAGAATGATCACTTAATTATTTTTCCTCTAATATTGTCTGTTACCCTCAATGTTTGCTACTTGTTAAAAAACCAATGTTCTTGTTTGTTTAAAGTGTAAAAAATCTTTTTTCTCCCTAAGCTCCTCATTGTTTGGGATCAAAACAATCTATATATTTTAGTTTAGGTAAACATAGTTTTTAAAGTTTTTACTTCTTCAGACAATGTACCAAATTTTCCCATACCCTGTCCAGGTATTTCAAATGAATAACAAAATGTTGTTCAGTAAAACCTGTGCCACCATTCACAAAGCAGGTTGTGTCTCTTGGGAGAGAGTGGTTTTTGTTTGTTTCACAGTGTCTATGTTGAATTTAACCCAACTCTTTTAAATGTGCAAATATATGTCAACCACCAAATGCAAAGCACCTTTAACAAACCCCTGCTGAAGGTATAAAATGGAACCTATTTCAGGTTGTTAATTTCATTTTATTCTTTCTTTGTGTACTTACAGGTAGAATTTAAGTTTTTCTCATTCAGTTTTCTCTAAATGGAAAAGTGAGTTGAAAGTATTGAGATGAACTGCCTGATAAACTGGTGTTATTAATTATATTGTTTTATTTAAGATGTTCTGTACTTGTTCTGTGATGGGATATCTCCAAAAAGCAGTATTTAGATTTAATGAAACTCGTTACCAAACATGTATGTGATTCTGGCATTGACAAAAAAAAATTAAAAAAAAAAACCCACCTACATTTTCCCTATGGTTGATTTGTTTTTGTTTCTTCAAAAAAGTTGGCCTTGTCCATAAAAATAATAAATACTTAACGAAGCTATTATAAAATCAGCATTGTGTGCCTGATCTAAGCGTAATTTATGATGTTAAAAAGTTCATTTTTAGAGGATCCTATTCACTTAATGGACTGTTTCTTAAGGTCATTACTGCAAGTGAAACATGCTGAGAAGAACCAGTGGTGTCAGAAGATAAGACAGAATTGTTTCCTTTCTAACCTTTTGCAAGTTTTGTCCAATGTGTTTTGAGTCTCATCAAATTTGATGAACTTTGACTTGAGGCCCGATGACACTGACATTATTCTTTCATCTACGTGTAAGAGATGTTGAGCCAGATTATAGTCCATACTAAGATTTGTCTAGTTGTAGTAGCAGTAAATGTCATTATTTGAAAGAAGTACCCTGCTCAAGTTAAACATGGAATAAATGATATTTGAAGAGTATCTGAACCAGACGTTCAATAACAGAAATAGAAAGCAACATTTAACCCTTTGATATTTGGGACTGGTTTAAGTTAGAATTCACAGCTTCTGAAGGTGCCCAAGCATCATGCTAGAGCCAATCTGAAGGCAACTCTCAGTTACTCCAAGGCTGGTCATCTAGTCTCTGTATGTCTTCTACCCCCTTCTACTCATTTGGGCCATCATCCTACCTGTTAGCATGTCCCTCTACTAAACACCTTTTGATCTGTTGAGACCTGGACATGTCCTTAGATTGTGAATATCTTCCAGTAGGATTCTGAAATAGAAGGCCATAACTGTGTTTAAGTGTTTGCCTTTATCCATATCTGTAGTGGAGAAAGTCACCAACTTGATTTTATTAAGGTAGAAACACTTTTCCCATGTG